TCATACCATATAGGCGTAATTACACCAATGCCCCCTGAAACTTCGGTCGAATCCCATTTTGCCCTCCCAAACTCAAAATGGCGCACATTCATTCTTTGACCGAGGTTTGGTGACCCACTTTGCCCCATGTCGTCAACTCCATCCAAAAATCTATTAACTTTGATGACATGGCATGAGTGTTTTTGTAATTTCATACACATGGATTAGTATCCACTAATTGGGTGGGTGACGTGGCAAGTGGAGCGTGCACATAGGTAAAAATATAATTAAATATTCTAATAATTAAAAATAACTAATAATTAAAATAAATCAAAAAATATATATTCAAATAATTAAAAACCCTACCCAACACCCAATCACTCTCCAGATGCCCCAATCAATCCCCCCCTCCTACCCAAGCCCATTCCCCTTCCCCAGCCGCTGCACGAAACCTCAGCCACCCACCCCATCCCTCCATCATCATCTCTACAGCCTTGGGCATCGACGTTTTCATCCTCATCGTGCAGCTCGAGATCGACATGTTGGTGGCCATGGCCCTCGTCATCTTGCTTGATTTGATTCATCAACCACCTTTTTTAGGGAGACCCATGAAGGCTGAAATTAATGTTTAATTTTATTGGGACTGTTGGATTTGGGCATGCTGTGATCTCTGCATTTTGTTTTTGTTTGTATAACTTTGTGTTGCTGCCTTCCACACAAAACATTCAATGGAAACTATTTAGACAATTTTATTTCTCTGTGGCACAATTTTTGGATCAAAGTAAATTGTTGGTTTGCTTAATTGTATGAATCCAATCTTTGAATCAGAATAATTTGTTAGTTTGCATATTTATGTTGGTTTGTATAAATTGTTGGACTGTTGGGTTTAGGTAGGAGATGTCGTTTGCTTCAACATTTGTTTGGATGAGTTCCAAGGAGACATATAAGTTTGGTAGAGGTTAATGGGGAAAAGGGGAAGGGGTGTGAGTGATGAAGGATTTTGAAGAAGGAGACCATGGTAGATTTGAGAAGGAACGGAGGCGTGGAGAAGAATTATTTATTTAGGGTTTAAGTTTTATTTATTTTTAACTAAATAATTAAGTTAATTATGGTAAAAAAAAAATTAAATTTTTAGTTATTTGAATATATTTTTTCTGATTTATTTTTAATTTTTAGATTATTTATTTGTATTTTTATCTATGTGGAGGTGGGTTCCACTTGTGTTTAGGGGTGGTAGAAATCCACCTAACCCGGGCACGAGAATTGGCTAGGCACGAGAAGAATAGCGGCCGAGCTTCTCAACTACGAAGTTGGGCCGAATGGAGCTGGGCAGGGATGAAATTAGGCTCTTGGAATTGCGGCCAAGCCCGAAGCTTTGGAGGTCTTGCAAAGTTACGGCCGAGGCTTGGAGAATTTGGGCAGCTAGGCTACACGCTGGTACGGCCGGGTTATGGAAGAATAGCGGGCGAGATTCCTAGCGGGCGACAATTCCTAGCGGCCGAGATTTCCTAGCGGCCGAGATTTCCTAGCGAGCGAGATTTCCTAGAGAGCGAGATTCCTAGCAGGCGACATTTCCTAGCGGCCGAGATTCCTAGCGGGCGACATTTCCTAGCGGCCGAGATTTCCTAGCGGGCGGAATTCCTAGCGGGCGACATTTCCTAGCGGGCGGAGTTCCTAGCGGCCGAGATTCCTAGTGGGTGACATTTCCTAGCGGCCGAGATTTCCTAGCGAGCGGAATTCCTAACGGCCGAGAATTCATAGCGGCCGAAGTACCTTCTCAAAAATGCGGCCGATGTGTTTTCTTCGAAGACCATGGTGCCCTCTCAAAAATGCGGCCGATGTGTTTTCTTCAAAGACCGTGGTGCCTTCTCAAAAATATGATCGGGCACTTCCCTTTGCAAAAGTGGCCGGGCACTCCTTAAATACCTTGGTCAGCCACTCCTCTTACAAAAAGCTGGGCTAGGGCGAAGTTTCTCCTTGCTCACCCCGGCGCCCTCCTCTCAACACTTGGGCAAGCAAAGTCGGGCCAAGGGAGTTGAAGTTCGGCGGGAGGTATGTCCGTCGAGTGCCCAATATTCGAATATTTGAGAACTCAAATATAGTCCAATGTAGGGCCTAGCCCAACATCCAAATATTTGGAGCCTTGGCGAATGGTCGACGGATGGTAAGCCAACTCTAGAATTCTAAAAACTCAAGGGGCACAAGGCTCCACCAAATGTCAAGATGAAATCTCGGAGGTCAAGGCCCAAGCCACGGATTCACACCCAAGATTTCCAGAGGTCAGTGTGCATGTGATGGAGGCCTCACAAGGAAACAAATCAAGGAGATTGATGATAATTCATAATGTTCCAAAGCAAGGAAGAATCAAGCATGTTAGAATATCTCAATCAATGCAATCCCACGGATTTAGGAGGGCTTCGAAAGGAAAGATTTTTTAGAAGAGTTGACATTTGGCCATTCAATGGCCAACCCATGGGCTGACGAGTGCCCTATATAAACCTTGCTCGACGAAGGCAGAAGACACACAACATCATACAGACAAACCTATCTTTCGTCTCGCACTTTTCTTTTCCTAGACTTAGGATTTTACTTTTCATGCACCTAGTGTAGCGAGTTCTTCCTTTTCTTAGTGTAAGTTTAAATTCTTGCAATTTACATTTCCTTGTCATTTAAATTCAAGTTTATTTCAATTGCTTTACTTTTCATTGTTATCGCACTTCAATTAAGTTTAATTTCAAGTTCATTTTACTTTATCATTCTTATCGCTTTCATTTCGTTCTTGCTTTATTTATTGCTTTGATTCATTTCGCACTTTACTTTACGCATTTGTCTTTAAATTATATTTAAGTTTAAGCACCTTTACTTTACGCACTTATTCTTTGTTTCATTACGTTTCACCTTCAATCTTCATCTCCACCCACTCCACATCATTTGGTCGCTCACATAAAGCCTTGACCCCGAGGTAGTGAAAGAACCTAGGCCGGGAGGAGGTTCCTTGCTCGGCCGAACAATCGTTTGATTAAAGTCAAATCTCGGACGCAACACATCCATCTACTCATATTCCATTCAAGCCCAAATTCGGGGCTTGGTGGTGGCACGCCCCGCACTCAAAAAAGAAGAAGGACCAAAAACTCCTTCAATCGGCCTACCCGGCCGAAAAGAGGGAAACAACTTGCCATGTCACTCACCTAATTGGTGGATAATGATCCATGTGTACGAAATGACCAAACCACACTTGCCATCTCATCAAAGTTAACAGACTTTTAGATGGAGTTAACGGTAGGCCAAACCTCGATCAAGGGATAAAAGGGTGCCATTTTTAGTTCGGGGGCAAAGTGAGATTTGACCAAAGTTTCAGGGGGCATTAGTGTAATTAAGCCTACCATATGTGATCGCATACTTATTGATAAGTGTATGAACCTTTCATTTCCTTTCTTTTAGATTTCTTTTGAACAAGATCTCACTAGGTGAGGGCGATTCTCCTTTTGACTTTGAACAAGCTCCCACTTTTCCTTTTGGAATATAGTCATTTCTAAAATGCTTCTTCAAGATACTATTTATCTTGGATGTTATTCATCTTATATGAATAATCCAACTCTTTGATGGAAGTTCATACTTCATGTTATCATACGATTTCATTATGATCAAAAAAATTAATTTTCAACTTTCACCATTGCTACATGGTTGGTGTAGTACACCATTGATCAACTTCTTGGAACTTTAAATGTGGTGAGTTGATAAAAGGAGTTGAATTGTCACTGTTTTTGATAATTAACTTGTGGTTTACTATCATTCATTTTACTTGTTTCACAACAAGCATATCTATTAACTTCTTTAATAGATTTCACATCCATTAGGTGATCTAGGATGTCCCACAAGATTTGTTTATCAAACCATAAATTTTTATGTTTTGAGATAACAATTTCAACCCTATTACCATTCATATGGACCTAATGTTGTTTTCCTTGGGATATGACGTGAGGAGGAATTTTAATGACTTATCATAAAATATTATACTTTATTTATCTTTTGCAATAAAGCTCATCCATTAAGATGTCTTGAAGCTCTTTAACCTTTTAAGAGATTTCTTGTTCAAGCATTAACTATTTATAACATTTAAAAGAGTGTTGATATTCCCTACGTATTTCCCTTTTCTTTGCTTTCTTGAAATCCTAAATCTTTTGGATTTCGGACTAGGCTTTAGTCCAATCGAGAGCAATCATCGGTGAATGCTATAGAAAAGACAATGGCCACAAGTCCATTATTACTTAGATATATCTTATACAAGTTCCATGATTTCTATTCTAGTTCTGAACTTAGAGTGTTTGGATTTCTCAATCCTCACATGCAACTCTCATAGGTAAGAATTGGAACCTTTTAAAGAACCACATATTACTTATCTTATGAATATTATCTCGATTGTGAAATCTAAACTTTTTAGAAATCATTCTTGTTTTAGATTTATCTAATACTTTGATTCTCAAATAGAATCCCATCTCAATATTATTGTAAACAATAAATGTAAGAACACTTTCATACATTTATCTCATAAAGCATATAGAGGTCAATAATCATATTACCTTAATACGAATAGTCATATATAAACCAAATTAACTAGTGGTTATGTCATACAAACCATAAGGTATCTTCTAAAACATGAAGATAGCAAATAAGTACTTTATACATCCTAAAATAAAACAAATAAACTAAATAAGTTCATAGGTTCTTAAAGAGATAAACAAAAGAAAACATGCTTCCCGATTCCAAATCCTAACACGCTTCATCCTTCATGAGCTTCCTACTTGTTCCCTGCCTCTACAGCAACATGGCCTATAATAGATCATTGTCTGTTAGACTCAAATAAGTTATAAACATCTATTTAGAGTTTTAATGGCAAAGTGAACTGTACCTTCAACTCTATTGGCCCTCAAGCTAGCTAAGTAAGCCTGGAAGTTCCTCTTCCAATGTCCAGCTTTCCCACAATGGAAACATGATCCTTTCACCCTTTTGTCTTCTTCTTGCTACTTCTTCTTGATGCCTCCCTTGGGTTTGAGAACAAGATTCCCCTTCTTCTTCTTGTTGGCTTTGAATTTACCTTTACCTTTCTGATTAGGCTTAGCAGAAGAAGTAGATCCCTTCTTAAAAACAACTATTGTCCATTTCCCTCCTTCCTTCTTGAAGGTCTTTTTAGTAGTCACACACATATTTAGGAGCTCTGAGAGAGTGTGCTCCATCTTTCCCATATTGTAGTTTATGACAAACTGGGAAAAGGAATAGAAAAGGGACGCAAGGAAGATGTCAGTAGCCAAATTATTGTCCAATGGATTGTCAAGACTTTCCAGCTGCTCAATGAGTCCAATCATCGTCAGTCTATGTTGGTGAATTGATGCTTCCTTCACCATCTTGGTTCTCGAAAGGTCGCATACTGCGCTGAAATGCATGTTGTGTGTGCCTTCTTCATAAAGCTCTCGAAGATGGAATATCATGTCAGTAGCATGGATCATAAACTCATGCTGTTTTTGGAGCTCCTCATTTATGGAATGGCCTAACAGTCATCATCCACATGCTTGTCATACTTAGCACGCACTTCCTCTGAAGAGTCTTCACTAGGGGGCTTTATGTTCGGAGCTTGCTCTAGTACGTATGCAATCTTCTCGATAGTCATAAATATCTTGAGATTGCAGTACCATGTTGGAATGTTGTGGTTTTCTAGACAATGCTTGTTGACAGGACCCGCCCCAAATTCCTCGGAATCCGAGACGAATCCTGTGATAATTTCGACATCATACCGATGCCTGGCCCACTTACTAAAAGCGACGAGATTTTCTACCGAAATTTCAGTGGAGTCTCCCCTGAAAAATGGAAATTTCCCAAATTTTTAAACTTGTCAAATACACATTTATAAATCTCATCCGACCGCATGCAATATACATAACAGGCCTCCGGCCTTACAATCAACCCTAGTATGGGCGAAATAAGAGCAATCTAAAGAGTTTCAGTTTACAAACGAAAATAAAGTTCAACAGAAGATAAACGAACGAAAATTTATCCTACATAAGCTCGGCTTGGAGTTCACGACTTGATATGGCTGCCTGATTCAAGACTATCTACTGCCTGGGGGCGCAAAATAGAAAATGTTTGAGTAGACAAAAACAAAGTTCAGAAAAATGATACTAAAAACGACATGCATTCAAAACCGACATAGCTATGGGTATATATATATATAGTTTAGTCAAAACCATAGTGAAATCCGTAATCTCGTAATAGGTACATTATCACCAATCCCATTCCAAAACCTTTCCTGAACTACTCTCTCAAAACGCGTGTCCGTTGGCATATCGAGCAAGGAAGTATCCTCACTGACAAATAAGAATGAAAGGAAAGGTACATATATATATATATGACATAATAAATATATCTATATATATAAGTATGACCACTACCACAACTTGTACCGGGGAAACAATCCAACCGGGGGATTGTTTGACTAGTCCACATGGAAGAATTCTCAATTGACCATGTGGCCAGGGAACGAGCCGTCCAATTGGGGGACTGACCCTACCAGCACGTACAACAGAATCCTCAATACTCGTATGCATGTGACAAGTCCTACGTGAGCAGACTAACCCCGCTAAGAGTCTACGAAACACCCCGTCACGGGTGCTCGAGTTCCAACACATCCAAGTAATCCATAATTCCAAGTATCCAATCCAAGAATTCCAAATCCGGGGAGGTACATAGGGTAGTGCTAATAGCACTCAAACTAACATAAATCGCAACCCACTCACAATCCATAACCTCTTTCCAACAATCCCATGTACCACACATATTCAAATATAGATAGAAATTCTCAAGAATAGCATATGTCAATTCAATATAATCAAAAATCCGCAAAATCGAAATATACTTCCAATATATTGATAAAAATATTATATTCAGCAATTAAATATATTCCAACTCAATAATCCAAGAAATCATTATGCATATTTTCCATCCTTGAAAATATAATTATAGTTTAAAAACAAAGTCTACTCATAGATAGTCCCATGCTTCTTGACCTTGAGAGGTTCTCGCTTGTTGCATACGCTGGGTCGGAGTACCTATTTAAAGACACGAGGACTATATTAAAATAAAGCACTTCGAAAGAGAACTTTAAAATAAATTCCGAATTTTCCCGGGATTCAAGTATGTGTATGTCAAATGAGAAGTTCCTAAGGTCCAACTACGCGTTTTGAATGGTGGAATAACCTCGGGAGACGCTCAGTCAACCGAGTGGTCAAACTTACTAAACTTGGTCAACCAGGCCCCCAGAGCCCACGACCTCCGATTTCCGATCCGAAAGTTCCTGCAGGTTCGACAAGTTTTATTATACATGTCCAGTAAGTTTGGTCCGAATCGAACGGTCGGATCTCTCACGATCGTACAATCGGATGGTCAATGTTTAACGCAAACTTTACGTCATTGAATCGGAGCATCCAGCACTCCGATTCACGATCCGCGAATTCCTACATGATCCTAGAGTTGCCTAGATCAACATATATGGAAATGGAGTCGATCCAGCGGTCCGAATATATCGAACTCGAATAATGCCTAATATGCGTAATCCAATCGACAATCAAATGATAACCAAATTCAAATTCGAGCATACTTTCTTGGGACAACATGAGGATCATTTTAGGACCAAATGGATCACCCAAACAGTGCCCACACGCCCCGGTAGCGCGGGTGTCTTGAGAAATTATGGCGACCAGAAAATTCTCGAAACACCCAACAATAACTATACCTACGTGTTCAGGATAACGAGTGCATCAACTTTTGTTCTTGAGCCATGGCCAAAAAGTGACCGAACTTGCTGGAATCTCGAGCCGAAAACCGGCCAAACTTTAAGTTGTAAATTGAGTTTCAAAACTCAAAAATCGATCCTAATCAACCCAACCATCAGCTAGAGCACATTGAGAGGATGAGAAAGAATACTTAAATAGACAAAATTGGTGGCCGGAATCACAAGAACGAGCGATGGAAATTTTATGTAAAAACCAGCCCTTTTTTGGTATATTGCAACAGCGGCGGCGGCTGATCGTGGCGGGGGACGAGCGGGATGGATAGAGGAGGCGGAGGCGGTGGCCAAAAGGGTGGCCGGTTGTGTAACGCGCTTGGGGG